AAAAAAAGAAAAAACAATGGCAATACAATATTCTGTGGATATTTGGAAGTTTGAATACTTTCTTTTCTTTAGAACTTTATTAGGTATTCTACAAAAAATATTCCAAATCTCCTACCACTACTTTCTTATATCCATAACTTAAAGCTATATGTTGATTTTATTGGGCAGAAACTGTTATTAAACCTTGTCAAATAATTGGCTTACTATTATTACTATTGTTATTATTATTATTATATGTATTGAGATTACTGGTGATTTTACTGCTAAGATTTAAAACATGAATAGTGACTGGAATGCTGCAAATTAAAGCTTATGGCTCACACCTGTAATCCTAGCTATTCAGAAGTCAAGATCAGAGGATCGCAGTTTAAACCTATCCCAGGCAGGAAAATCCATGCAACTCTTATCTCCAATGAACCACCAGAACACCAGAAGTGGTGCTGTGGCTCAATGGTAGAGAGCTGGCCTTAGAGCTGAAGAGCTCAGGGACAAGCCCCAGGTCCAGAGTTCAAGCCCCACAACCGACAAAAAAAAAAAAAAATGCTACAAATCATTATGAATAGGAATCAGATATGTGAATAAACAGGCACTTATAGTGCATTTTCCCTGTATACAATGTATGTTTTCAAACTAAGAAATCGCGTCATCTTTGTAATCTTTGTAAATTTGTTCTTGACCCAGACTCAACATTTCAGAATACTATTATAATTATTCAAAAGCTTAATAAGTCATCAGTCCATAGAATTAGAATTTTTAATTACCTTTCTTATCCAATATGAATTGCATAGCACATACCGGAGAGCAAATATGTCCATTTTGTATTTTGCATGAATCTTTTTTGTTGTCGTTTTATTTGAAATCGATTTTACTGTCCTAAACTATTTGTGATATTTTTACATTTTGTCTTAGATAACACTGCCAGAATTTTAACCCGAAAAAATGGCTTCAACAGACATGAAATCAGCACCTATCTCTTGCCTGTGGTGATATCCGACAATGACTACCCAATTCAGAGCAGCACAGGCACGCTGACCATCCGCGTGTGTGCCTGCGACAGCCAGGGCAACATGCAGTCCTGCAGCGCCGAAGCCCTGCTCCTTCCTGCGGGTCTCAGCACTGGAGCCTTGATTGCCATTCTCCTCTGCATCGTTATCCTGCTGGGTAAGAACCACCAGGGCAGCTGGACCACCTCCCAGGATCCTACTCATTAGGTTGATGAATAGGAAGTGTTGCTATTAAAACATCTTCCTCCCCTCAAATAATGCCAACGCTTTGAAGGTCGATTTAACTTAACGATTCAATATTATTTATATGAAAATACCTGTTTAAAATGTGCATTTGTGTAGATATTTTTGTATGTGTGTGTGATTGGAACAACCCATTACTCCAATATCGTTTAGGCTGACAAGAACTTATTCAAAAGCAAATAAAACTGGAAAGAAAGGAAAACTCCATGTCTTTTAGGCCAGCCACACAACTCTTGGTAGCTTTGCTGGATGTTGTGATGGAACCAGATGCTCTCTGAAGGCCCATGTTCAGAGGACAATGAAGAAATAATGATAATAATCAGAACCCCCAACTATCTCATAGCCAGTCAGTCTTTGCCACCCATGTGGGGTGTGGTAACAGACCCTACTGCAGATTCCTGGATCATCCTCCAAACTGTTATTTTAGGAGAGAGTGGGAGCTGAAGCAGTGGGCAGAATGCAGTATCTTCTCTGCACTACCCCCAGCACATTTGAAAGCTGGATATGAGCAGATCTCATTAAGATGAAACAAAGAGAAAGATGCAAGCTGATCATTTTTTCTAGAGGCATCTTAAAAACCTTGACTTAATTTAAAAAAAAAAATCCTTCTAGCTACCTACACACAATTTCCAAAGAAAAGTTACCTTACATTTAATTCTTCTTTGTAAAATATGGATTTGAGGCAGAACTTGACTTTTCCATGTATAAGACTGATTAATCTTAATTTCATTTGTCAGAATATGTTCGAATTGATAAGATTTTTATTTACCATTTAACTTTCTACAAGGCATGAGGATACATTTCTGTCATCCTGGTTACTTGGGAGGCTGAGAATAGAGATTTCAAGATTGAAATTGCTTTGGCAACATAGTGACACAAATACACACACAAAAAAACTCCACAAAATGAAATTTAAAGAAGTAAACAAAGAACAATTTGGCTTACTATCAATAAAGTATACACATTAAAAAAAGCCCATATACATAGTTTCCAATATTTGAATCAAATTAAAATATGAATTATATATTACCTGTTGGAGTACATATTTTAAATTGTATAGGTGAAGTCATACTGCTGAAATATTTATTATAAAAGAAAACACAGGAATATTAAACATAGCAAAATTTTATTTAATGTCTACTAGCTATTGAACACTCATTAGCACTCTATAAGATTTTTTTTTCATCTTGAATAAAGTAAGTGTTACATTATGGATAGTTATCTATACTTCATGCATAGTCACAGTAAAGACTGGACATGGTTGACATATTTGCTAAAGCTCCATAACTTTTGAGTGACTGAGCCACAGCACCTTGCTATTAGTCCCTGCTTCCTTAATTTCCAATGACATCTGCAGATTACTTCTTGTTTTTTTATCCTTGTGTCCGGTTCAGGTCTCCCTCACTCTTCCACACTCATTGAAACAATTGTAGAATAGCCTTTAACCTGGTTTACTTGTCTCCAAAATAATAATACTTGGTTTTATACCCTACAAATTGTGTGTGTGCATATATATATATATATACACACACATATATATATATAAATAATGTTTATATATATTTATAGATATAATATATTTACATATTTATATATTATATATAAAATATTTATATTATATATATATAATGTTTATGTGACACCAAAGAATGGAAACCAGGGCCTCATGCATACTAATCAAGCATTATACCACTAAGCCACATTCCTTACCCACATTTTGTGTGTGTGTGTGTGTGTGTGTGTGTGTGTGTGTGTGTGTGTTTGCCAGTCATGGGGCCTGAACTCTGGGCCTGGGCACTGTCCCTCAGCTCTTCAGCTCAAGGCTAGCACTCTACCACTGGAGCCAGAGTGACACTTCCGGTTTTTTCTGCTTATGTGGTGCTGAGGAATCAAACCCAGGGCTTCATGCATGCAAGGCAAGCATTCTACCACTGAGCCACCTTCCCAGCCCCCCTCCCACTTTTTTAAATGGCTGTTGAGAAGCACCTCCCCCCCACACACACTACAGTGTATATATACTTTCTAGTTGCATAGCTTAAAAGTATTGCTGTGGGGAATTCTTCTAATCCTGATTGAAAATCATTTTCTGACACTCCAACCATCAGAAAAATAAATTCATACTTGCAACCAATTGAAGTACATGTTCACTATCCTCCCTCTCACAGGAACGTTGTTTATTGAGCATCATTGATTGATAATAAATAATGTGGTGTACCATCTTTGAATCACTCATTTCTGTGTGTCCATGAGTATACAATCGAGACAAAATATAGTGAGATTTTTAAAATTAAAATATATATTCTCCTATTTTGTCAGCTTGCTTATTATAATAATTTTAGCCTCAAAAACACATAGAAATTCATTAAACCTCTTGATTTTATAGGATTAATAAAGTTCAAGGTTGACAACACAAATTTGAAGACAAGTAGTCTGAGCAATATTAATAAAATAAGAAAAAAATCACTGCATATACATTTATATAACAATACAATAATTTTCATTTTTTTATTTTTATACATTTTAATACACCTCATTCAAGAAATAAGTATCACTCTCTTATTTTCTTAATTAATTTATGCCTGTTTCTCTAAATCATTTTAAATAATCAAGACCATGATATTTGGGTGAGAAAAAAGGAGGAAATTCTATTGTAATGAGGAGTGCTGAAATTCACATTTCCTGTTGAGTTCATATTATGAACATTATTTTAGTTGTTAATACCAGTAGCATTTATTAGAATTTTTTTACAGAAGAGGTCTTCTTTCTAAAAAGTATGTTTTTCTGTGGCTCTAACTTTTTACAATGCATTTACTCAAGGTTTATACATGTTTCTTGTAGTTAATTCAATATTGTAACTTACATATTCAGTTTGTAATTTGATCTAACAATGTTGGGATAGTTATATTTCAAGGCTTTTAATTTAAAATAAAGCATATATCTCTAAAAATTTCTATACATCTTTAAATCTGCATGATGTCCAAATAACTTGGCCAGTTTTATTTTTAATGAGTTCTTTTAATACAGTGTGTGGGGGGGGGGGAGCCAAGGAAACCCTTGAGCCAAGCTTTCTAGTAGAAGTCAATACATACCTTGTGAAGAATGTTGTTTTTCTATAGTTTACCCGGATATGAAAAATTCTCTTATTAGGAAGTGAATTCAATTTTTCTAATTTTAATGTAGCATGTTATGTCACTACTTATGGCAAAAGATCAATACTTCCTGTAAAAAGAGGAACTAACTTCTAGAGGTTCTTAGAAAAATAGGTAAACTCTAAGTTACTCTACCTGAAGAATCTTCCACATTGCTTTAGAATCGAATCAGAGGAACTACTCTTGGAAATCTGATTAGCTAAATGCTTCCCCACTCAAACATAAATAAATATGTATATATACACACGTATAAATATATATACACACTATATGTGTATCTATGTGTATGCATGTGTACATATACACATATATGAACGTATGCACATGGTGAGTCTTAGGGTGTAACTTGGCCGTCCACACAGCTTTGTGTGCTTTATAGCTTATTGATGGCTTATTCCCGACGTGTGCAGAGAGGACTGCTAACGGACCCTCTTGTCTTTCTCCCAAGTTATAGTAGTCCTGTTCGCAGCTCTGAAGAGGCAGCGCAAGAAGGAGCCTCTGATCCTGTCCAAGGAGGACATCCGCGACAACATCGTGAGCTACAACGACGAGGGCGGCGGCGAGGAGGACACGCAGGCCTTCGACATCGGCACCCTGCGCAACCCCGCGGCCATGGAGGAGAAGAAGCTCAGGAGGGACATCATTCCAGAAACACTCTTTATCCCCCGGAGGACGCCTACCGCCCCGGACAACACGGATGTCCGGGATTTCATCAACGAGAGGCTCAAAGAGCACGACCTGGACCCCACGGCGCCTCCCTACGACTCTCTGGCCACCTACGCCTACGAGGGCAACGAGTCCATCGCGGAGTCGCTGAGCTCCTTGGAATCAGGTACTACCGAAGGAGACCAGAGCTACGACTACCTGCGAGAATGGGGCCCTCGGTTTAACAAGCTAGCGGAGATGTACGGCGGCGGGGAGAGCGACAAGGAGACCTGACCAGCCCTGCCTTGCCGAGGCGTACCGCGTCCGGGAGAATGGGAAGGAGGAGGCCCCGCCCCGCCCTGCCCCTGCCCTGCCCTGCCCTGCCCTGCGACGGTGTCTCCACTTCCCCATATTTGAGATTCAGGAGAACGCTCCTGCAACTCAGCACAATCTCCCCCATTTCTTCCTTAATTTGCTCATTACTTACATTAACTCTTTCCTATAGGATGTCTCCTGGAATATATATGACATTTTATTTAATCACTTCCAAAAGCCAAAGCTATGGAAATTTCGTGTTGTCCATCTTAGTAAATAAAAAGAATTTCAGAAATACGAACAGGATAGTTGTCCCTTCCGTAACCTCACAAAGAAGCGATTCTGTTAGATTCCTGCCCTGTTCTTGCAAATAAAGCTTTTCAAAGGTGAAGAAAAAAATAAATAATAAAAAGGAAATGTATGGCCTATCCTGTTCTGTACATTAAATTTAAGAAAAAAATGTACATGTGGTGTTAGTAGGTGTGGTATGCAACCTGGTATACAAACATTGTGCAATTTCATTTCATCAAATTCTATCTGCTAATGTTTTATATTTATATTTTTGTATTTATTTTTTAAAAAAAATAAACCGGTTTTTACAACTATTTTGTTTCCAGCTTCTTTTATTTTCCTCCTAGGAAGAAAACTTCTCCAGGAAATAAATACCTTGCTATAAAATTACATTAACTCCAGGTAAGAAGAAAGTCAAAGTCATGATAATTAATATTGAAAGCTCTAGCCAAATTAATATAGAAGGTAAGAATTATTGCTTCCAACAAGTTTTTATGCTGATAGTAATCATTTGCAAGCCTCTTAAATATCTATCATTTGAATAAATTTAAAATACTGCTATACTTGTAGTAAGATATAATTTAAATTATGTTCATATTTGCTGAATTAGTTCCCAGAGGAGTAAAACTTTTTTTTCTTACTTTATATGGCATTCTGTTATTGAATTTTATAAGCAATAGTAGCTCAGATAGAACTTAGATTGAAATAATAGTTTAGTGGGAAAATATATTTGCCTCTTGTGATGAGTTAAAAATATCTAGTATGGATAGCCTTAATGCTGAAAATTCTATGAAGATAAAATTTTCAATATATATATATATATATATGTATTGCATATATATATATGCAATCCATTGTGTGTATATATATATATATATATATATACAATGAAGTCTGCTTTTCTGTCAGTAAATGACTCAATATAGAGCAAAAGAAAATACAAATATGGGCAGTGAATCATCAAAGTTAATGAGAATGGGAGTTAACTGTCATTGATTTCTTATTCCTCAAGCAAACATAACTTTTATATGAATGGAAAGTTTATGAGATTGAGATACATAAGTACCAGACTACACTGGAAATGAGAGATGTGTGCACTAATTAGAGAAAATGCTACAGTTTTGAAGTGAGGGTGACATATTGACATATAGTTAATGCAGAATTAATTATTTTAATCTTTGCTGGCATGTGTCAAGGGATGAGACTTTGAACTTTCTGTTTTTTTGGAATGGTCATTTCTTTTTTTCTTCTTTCCAGCTCACATCCTTCATCTATACATGCTTTGATCTGTATGGTAGTATTATTATGGAAAGAAAAACAACCAATGTACTCTATTCAAAAGTAGAATCATACTTAAAATTCAGGATGCATCAAATCACACATATTAACGATTCATCTGAAGACTTCTAGTCGAAGAACCTATGAATTCATACTGAAGGCTGGCTCTCGAAAACCCAAAATCTTCTTATTTATATTGCACTCAAGTAGGGAAATACCTTTGCTATCTTTGAAAGATTATTCATTAAAGGCAAAATTGGCTACATATGAAAAAGGAAAAGAAAAATGTGCATTATACACTATGAATCAAAGCATAACTTTAATTACAAAACAATTTTAAATATTAGGCACTGTTGTTTGACATTGATATTACAGATCAGCCATTTTTTATTACTATTGTCTTATTCAGTTATTTTCAAAGTGACATTGTCATTTATTTTGTCATCTAAATATTTAAAATATCAAGGATTTTGACAGTTATATCTGGTTTCATCTAAGCTAAATTTCTGAAAATTATTTTTATAAGGTTTAATTCATGTGTGTTTTTGACAAGACATGGCCAACATTATACAGACCTGTTCAGTAGTAGATATCCCAATTGCTAGTTAGCAGTGGAAGTGGTATGTTAGCTTTGACTTGTTGATAGTCTTGAAATCAAATTGTATGCGTATCTTGCCTAATTTTATAAATGTTCCCCTTGCAATTATGCTCTTCCAAAGATATGCCCAATGTATGCATCATGTTATGTCTAAAGTTTGTTTTCAGCATAAGTTGGGCAACATCTCTCAATATCATATTATTAATTCTATTAAACCAATGTGGGGTTTCCAGTTATCCACCAATTTATGACCTTCATGAAATATTTATTGAGAAACTACTATAAAATAAAGGAATGTTTTACCCTTAGACTTGTAATAAATCATATATAAATATAAAAAATGTAATTCTAGAAATAAAATGAAAATATAAAATATTACTGAAAAATGTTTGAATTCATTAAAAAAACTAGCCTTTTCTAACACTCAAGTTCTAAATGCAAAATTATAAAAATTGTTCTGCCTTCCCTTTTAATAATTTACATAATCTGATAAATAAAAAATAGCCATAAATCTATTGTTCATTGGAAATAATAAACAGCTTCCATTGTTCATCAATACACTCAATAATGCATAATTTGAGGCTGACATTTCTTTCTAAACATATATATATATAATAGATAATGTTATATAACTATAATTGTAGACATTTACTGGTAGATTTCTACACATAAACTATTGCTTAGGTATTCTAAAATAAACAACCTAATATTTAAGACTAAGGATATCTTCATAGTTTAGTCCATTTGTCAATATATTAACCCAGGCTATAGAGTTTATATCTCTATTTTAAACACATGTATTCACATATAAATTAAAACTGTGATAGACTCATTCCACAAGATAGTCAAGAAAAATGGCTGGCAAGCTCAGTTACAAATCCATGCCAGGCACCAGTGGCTCAAGCCTGTAATCTTAGCTAGTAAGGAGGCTGAGATCTGGGGATCACGGTTCAAAGCCAGCCCAGGCAGGAAAGTCTGTGAGATTCTTATCTCCAATAAAGCTGGAAGTGGCTCTGTGGTTCAAGCGGTAGAGCACTCGCCTTGAGCTGAAGAGCTGACACATAGCGCCTAAGCCCAGAGTTCAAGTCCACAACTAACCAAAAAAATAAAAAATACATGTACAGACACTCATTAAACGATTCCATCTTCATGTGTATGTGTATGCTTCCCACCTTTCACTAGGTACTACAAGACCTTGTTTTTAAATACACACATCAAAGAGTAAAAGGTGGAAGTAGTCCTGCATTTATGCAAAGTGCATTATTCACGATTAATAGCTACCATGTAAGATTGTTTGGAGGATTAAAATTAAATAAAGCTCACATATTTTCAATTTATTTGAGAGCCAGAATGGCTAAGGCTTTTCCCCTAACCATTTATGTACACAAAATTTTATATGTAGGCTCAAAGGTAATAAGACAGTATGGAAAGTGAGAAATGAAACTACTTTAATTCAAAAATGAGGTCTGTCTTTTCCTGTAGTACTAAAGGGAGTCCATGATGCCTGATAATGACATTCACTTACAGAATAACAGATCTTTTTTGCTTTTTTGCAATTTTTTATTGTGATTAGTGATTTGACAAATTTCACAAATTTCACAGCATTGTGGGATAGTGATACTTAGTTAAAGTCGCAAACACATTCTAATCTTCATGGGGCAAATTGTCTTTACTGTGATCTACAAAATTTATGAATTCTATGAGCTTTGACAATACAGTTATTTCTTCCAAATAGGGTGATATGTACATTCCTTTCCTTTTGCTTAGTGTCAGCTGTTCCATCTTTCCCACTCATTCCCTCCCTCCCATCGCTGCCATTGAGTTGCTTAATTCATTTTGATCAATGTCCAGTGCATCTGAAGAGTCCCGCTGTTGTATGTTTTCCTCTGTTTCCCTCTGGTTTTGTGTCCTCCTCCTAGTTTCCCTCCGATGTGCACATACATGCTATGTATGTGGTTAGCAGCATGGGGTCATTTAGTAATGATTGCATCAGGTGGTGGAGGGCCTTTGTTTCTCCAGTCTTGTTTACTTTGTCCTATCATCTTAGTTTGGGATTAAACATACACTTATCAGGGATACCATGTACCATTTGTCTCTTTGCTCTTGGCTTAATTTACTCAACATGATTTCTTCTAGTTCCATCCATTTCCTTGCAAATGCCATTATTTTTTCCTTTCTAATGGCTGCATAATTTATTGTGCATACATACCACAATTTTTGGATCCATTCATCTGTAGTGGGACATCTGGGTTGTTTCCATATCCTGGCTATTGTGAACAGTGCTGCAATAAACATGGAGGTGCATATATCCTTGTATCCTGGTTGTTCAGGATAGATGCCTAGGAGTGGTATGGCTGGATCATAGGAGAGGTCAATATTTAGCTTTATGAAGACCCACCAGACTGCTTTCCAAGGTGGTTGTATAAAAGTACGTTCCCAACAGCAGTGTAATAGGGTTCCTCTTTCTTCCATCCCTTCCAGAATTTGTTGTTGGCTGACCTTAGGATGTGGGCCATTCTGATTGGGGTAAGGTGGTATCTCAGGTTTGTCTTTATTTTCATTTCCTTTATACCCAGGGATGGTGAACATTCAGAAAAACAAATCTTATTTGTAGTTAATAACAATTCCATTATCATTAGTTATTATTATTCAAGCTACTATTGGGCCTTATTTATTTAATTCTATCATCTTCCTTATCCATATTAATTTACTTTCATTATAAAATTTTCAAAAATGAACATTCTTTTTGATCTATCACTATCTTTTAGATATTTATCTGACCTTTCAGAAAATCTTATCTTTATTGGTTACA